TGCGGTGCGGGCAACACCTTGCCCTCCCCCCCCACCCGGGCAACGGGAGATCTTCCAGCTCAGCCCCTCTCGCCCAGCCGGGAGCAGACCTTGCCCCCCCTCAAGCCCAGTGCTGACACAGCTGGAGACCTTCACCCAGGGCTGGGCCCCGAGGAAGGAGACCACCAGCAGCTCTGGCCGGGGCACAGACCAAAACCGGCTCCTGAACCCCCAGCGTGGTGAGCTGGGACCCCAGGGGAGCCGCTCTGGGCTGGTCCCGGCTGAGCCCGGCAGGAGCCAACCCCTGGGAGCAGCGGGAACACCGACGGTTTCGGCCTGGTGCCGTTGGGAAAAGACAAGCGTGACACGGGGGAACAGTTCAGGTTTTTATTTATCGTAACAAAGGTGGAGAGACCTACGTGCGAACGGCTCATTGCAGCTCCTCCTCCGCCAAACCTGGGGAGGAGAAAGAGACGACTTCACGGTTGGAAAGGCTCTGCTCATTGCCCTGCCCACCCGGCCGGGGGACCGGCGTCTCCTCCAGGAGAGGGGCAGCCGGGGCCGCGGGGGGGGGCGGCGCCCCCCAGCCATGGAAGGGGTGCTCAGGGCCCTCCGGCTCCCCGTGAATGCCGACGCCGGGGAATGAGAGGGGCAACAGCAGCATTTACCCGGGCAAGGGACCGACTGCGGCATCGGCTCCGGGCACAGGGACAGCAAAACCGAGTCAGTGACCCAGAATGGGGGGGTGGGGGGGGGAACAACGTGCTGGGAGAAGGCTGCTGGACAGCGGGAGCTCCACAGGGGCCCCTCCACGGGGAGGGGGCTCTCGCTGCCCACCTCAATTCAGCCTGCCTTCTGCCCCCGGCCCAGCCGTGCCCCGGCACGGGACCTTTCCCTTCAGACACCACGGGATACCTGGAGGCAGGGACTGCTTCAGCTTCTCAGCCTTCTCCTTGTCCGTGATGACCAGGGTGTACAGGTACCGGCTGCAGCGCACCTTGAACTTCACATTGTCCTTGTTCTTCTTGATCTTGACCGCTGCAGGATTAAGGAACAGGTCAGCGGGACGGCAGCGACCCCACCCCGGCTCCTCCCCTCTCACCCGAGCCGGGAGGACGATTACGGCCCTGCCAGCCCCACCGGCACTCAAGAAAATCCAGACCTCGTCCTTGTTCTTCTTGATCTTGACCGCTGCAGGATTAAGGAACAGGTCAGCGGGACGGCAGCGACCCCACCCCGGCTCCTCCCCTCTCACCCGAGCCGGGAGGACGATTACGGCCCTGCCAGCCCCACCGGCACTCAAGAAAATCCAGACCAAGTAGTTTTACACCGTTGTTGTCGCTACAGCTGCTGCCCCAGCCAGAGGGTTCAGCCCGCCGTCTCGCCGAGACGCCG